GGAGTTAGATATAGTTCTATTTGTATATTGTCTGTACTAAACATTTATAAATAAACTTCTGACTGGTTGACTATCGTGGCTGCCAAAGGTTAAAAAAAAAAAAAAAAAAAATATATATGTCTAGTAAAAATAAGTAAATAAAAAAAGTTAAATAAATAGGTTTATTAGAGAATAATATCTGTTTTCTTAAGTCTATTAAGAAATTAAATAAAAACTTATTATTATATGTTTTAATTAGATATATGTTTAATTACTAATTGCAAATTGTAAATAATATTCTAAGTACTATATACAATAAAGATATTGCAAGTATTTAGTTATATAACTATTTTCTAATTGAATATATATTGTAGCCAGATATTATAATATATGCTATATAGTAATTTTAACATATATTCAATTATATACAAAGCCAATTAAAATAATTAATTATAGTAATATGTTTAACACTATTTTAAGAATCTAAAAATATTGATTTAAACTATATAATTAATTTAATTGTTTAAATAAAAATTTATAATAATATTTGAATTTTTTATTTTTTATTAGAGACTAATCTAAATACTGTCAGTCTTCCCAAAACCAGTAAGTATGATAGATAGGTTTGTATCGATTTTAAGAGGATATTGGATTTGAAAAATGTTATGTGATGTAAATACAATAACCCACCAATCAAATTATAGTATACATAATATGTGTTTTAGTAGTATATGCCACGATTTTGCAATAAACGATAATATTTAAAATGCTATACGCATATATGCATAGCTACTTTTTATAAAAAATTTTTTACACGCATCCAAATTAATTAAAAACCTGTTTGATAATTATTTTATTTTAATTTTTTTGATTTATCTTATGACCTAAAAGGGATGTTTATGCCTATTGCTGCTCATTTCATCAAAGTTATTTAGCTAAAATTACACAAAGTTAGAGTTAACATTTGATTAATTACAGACATATCAATATATTGTCACCTGGCACAATATCAGCTAATTAAACTGTTGGTGAAATAATTGTTAGTAAAATAAGCTGAATCTGTTTATGCCAACCCAGTTCTGTAAAGCTAACTAAAAAAGAAATTAATTAAATAAAGAGAGACAATAAACCAAATTAGATATTATTCTGGATTAAAATATGTTAATATACTTAAAATGTTATTTAAATTCTAGATTAGCTTCGAATTTGTGAGAAAATGAATAATGTGATCAAATGCTTTGGAAATAAAATGCACCTATATTGTCCAAATATTTCAAAGCTATTAGGAAGCAGATTAGATAAAGCAAAAATAGAATTTGCAAAATTATTATTTTTAACTTATCTAATTATTTTTACTGATCTAATAAAAAAAAATTCTGATTGTAATAGTAAGTTAAAATGAGGCATCCTAATAGAAATATTAAACATCTTCATTTTAGCACAAAATATCTTCTGAAGGTTTGTATTTTGAACATTTGTTAAATTAATTAAGATCGATGTGAATCTTTAAGGCAGATCAATTAAAAAAAAATCAAATCACATAAAATCTTGATTAAAAAAAAAAAAATTAAATTAAAATAATAAATCAAATTGTATCTATTAAAGACTGTAAATAAAAAAATAAAATAATAAATAATAAAATCTTATTAGATTAATAATAGCTTGATTTAAAAATTCTGTTCCTTGCTATTAATGTAATCATAAGTCACTATTATAATTTTTCTAACTATTAGTTAACTATTTCATTCTTCCAATATCTGTTATTATAATGAAAAAAAAAAACAAAGTTCTTTTAGCTAGAAATTTGTGTAATGATCAAAGGAAAATAATATGTGATTATCATTAAAAAAATCCAACACTTACTTAGAAGAAACTTGCAGAGTGAGCTAAAAATAAGCTCAAACTAGTAAAAGCCCTAAGCCAAAGTATGATTTCTGATATTTTAAAATGAAAAAATGAATTTAATAAAATATCTTCAAGTGATCTTGAAGTTAAAAGATGTCATAGTGTTATGTTTTCTGAACTAAATACTGCCTTGACAAACTGGATATTACAATATGAACATAGGGCTGTACATTTAAATAAAGATCTGATTAAAGCTAAGGGAAAAAGATTAGCAGACCTGATGAAAATCTTTGAAAATAATTAGTCTGAATTTTCAAATAGATAGTTGCAGGCTTTCTAAGAAAGGTATAATTTTCACTATTTTAAGTTGCACAGTGAGAGTAGTTTTGCTAACATTACTGCCATAAACCTAAACCTTCCTATAATTATTAGTACTACTAACCAGTATGCATTTTGTGATGTTTACAATATAGATGAGACAGGTTTGTTTTATGTTATGGCTCTTGACTATATAATTGTATTTTGCCAGATTAAAGGATCAAAAAAAAATTATACAAAAATTACAGATGGCACCTATAAATTTTAACTTTTTATTATTGGTCATTCTAAAAGACCTAGATGTTTCAAAAAAAAAAACAGATGAAGAACTTGGATTTTATTATTGTAATAATAAAAAAGCATGGATGACTGCCATATTTTTTCAAGAATAGATAGAAAAATTAGATGATGAAATGAGAAAATCAAATCATAACATTTTACTTATCCTTAATGATGCCTCCTTATATGTTACTAGTGCTCTCACCTTGACTAATGTAAAAGTACTCACATTACTCCCATATGCAACATCAAAAATCCAACCTATGGATGCTGGTATTATCACATCATTCAAACTTCATTATCATTATCTACAACTTCAACATGCAATTAATTATGATGAAGCTGAGAAGAAAGACATATATAAAGTCAATCAATTGCAAGTACTGTAGTAATATGATAGTTAGGGTTGTTAATAGGTTGGATTTGGTTGAACTAGTTCTCAACTTATTTTAACTTAAGTTGAGTTCACTTCAGAGCCCCTCCAGACTTGCTTAGTAGTTGCTCTAATTTTCTTTAGTTTCATTCCAAATTTAGTTTTTTTTTTTCTTGATTTTTTTTTTTTTTTTTTTTTTTTTGGTATTAAGGTGAGGCCTTGCTCGTATCTTTATGATTTTTTTTTTTTAGTTTTTTTTTTTTATAAATTGAGTTAGAATTTAAAGTTAGAGTTGTTATAAATAAATTCTTACTAACTTGTATCACTAATTGCAGGCTATGAAATAGACAAAGATTGCCTGAAAAGAAGTATCTGCTGAAACAATTAGAAGATATTGATTTCACATGAAAGTTGTATCTTCTCATGATAAAAGTAAAGTACCTGTTGCCCTCTTTATTATTGTTAAAAGCACTGATGATATAGAAGAAAACTCATCTTCTGATCCAAATGATAAATTAATAGTCAAAGAACTTCTGCAGCAAATAGGCATATTACATGTATGTAACCTAATGCTGATTGAAGATTTACTAAATCTTAAAGAAAAACAAGAAGCACACTACCAATTTACTGATGAAGACCTAATTCAAACTGCAACAAAAGTAGAACAAATAGGAGAGGAGTTCATAATGCTACCTCTAACTGGAGAAAAACAATTTAATATTTTGCATGATGTCTTGAAGATCGTAAATGAAAGAATCGATAATAGTGGAGTAACAATAAAATCTTTACACAAGCTACAATCCTGTATTTGAAAAAAGGTTCAGAAGGAGAAAGCTAGAAAGCAAGTTCAGTATAGATTGGATCAATATTTTACTTAAATGAAGAATAGATTCTTATTTTCTTTTTTTTTTTTTTTTCTTTTTATTAAAATATTCTACTAAGTAATAAATGCAATGCAACATAAATAAAATAATACTTATCTGTAATCTATATATACTCCTTATTGCTTTCTTGAAATTATTTTGAATTGTAAATGTATGTGAACAAAGAACAGGAGAGAACATTAAATATTACATGAATGTTCATGTATTGTCACATTATATAAATAAAATAATGATAACAAAAGTGAAACAAAATGTAATAAATTAATTTTAAAGCTTATATTTTAAAGTTTAAAGTAAATGTTTTAGACTTGTCATGAGTTGACAAGTATACATTTATTAATTTATTTATTTGACAAACAAATTAGCTAACTTCTATATAACTAATACAATAATTTTTTTTAGATTTGACTCTATCTAGTATAAAATTCAAACCTTTTAACTTGTAATATTATCATATCATAAATAAAAAAAATTATAAATATAATTAGTTAACTTGCTACTTAGACTTTTCTTAAAAAAATTCTATGTGAAGCATGTAATAAATACTGTATTGTATAAATTAATATTTTCACTTGGATTACTTTTGCTAAATTGTTGTTTTCAACTTTCTTTTTTCTTGGTCACCTAACAATCTGAAATTTAGTATTTTAAAAGTTTTGAATTTTGTATCTGCTTATTTTAAATTGTAATATGAAGGGTTTGTAAATTTGGATGAGATTCAACTAATATAATAAGACATAAAAACTTCAAGTTTGCTTAGCATTAGTACATTAAGATGAGCTACACAAGCCTCATAAAAAAGTACTTACTATTTTTAGATACATTCCTCTCCTGTTACATAGATCAGTGTCTCAATATTACCTTTTGATTGGCTGTTAATCATATGATTATGTAAAACAAATTGGAAACATATATGTTTGAATCATTGGATATTAGAAATGGCAGGTTATCAGTTATAAATTAAGGAACAGACCAAGTAGATCGATTTTTAACTGATTTTAGTAGGATATCAGTTTTGACAAGATTGGTTTGGGAAGGGCTAACAGTATATCAATAATTGAACTGAAATTTTTGTTTATCAATTTTACTTTATTATACTAATTAAGTATTTTATTAGCAATCAATCTTGTGATATTATTTTTTAAATATAATTAGCTAACATTATTGGCTATTTGACTAATATCTGATTAATTATTAATTTGTCTTGCTACTTTAAAGCAACATTTTGATACAAAAAGAAGTATGTTATATATAAAAGCATTAAATTTATTGATAATTGTATATATTATATTTACATTCTTTTTATGCAATAATATATTAGAAAAGGATCTAATTTAATAAGATAGCTGCATAACATAGTCATACAAAAATTAGCTTTATAACTATATATATTAGTTTTCTTAGTATTTAAAAAACTAAAATATTTTTATATAAAGTTTGAAACTGGCTTCAACCTTTATATTTAAATTAGATTTAATTTAAATTTAGATATAAAACTGAATCTACTAAATCTGCAATACAAACACCTATAAAATTGTTCTTTAGTAGTCATATATATATATATAATAATGTTATATATTTAATTTGACATCTATTTTTATTATTATTATTGTTAAATTTAATTAATTAAATAACTGTTAAAATATCAATTTAACAATTTGAATTTAAATTTAAAGCTAAAGATTTTTAAATAAATTCAAATTCAAAAAATAAATTTGGTTCAAAACTCTATTTGTATAGTATAAAAAATATAGATAATTATCTAGTTTCAGTTATATTATATGTTATTTTATGTTTTAATATTATATACCTTTATATAATATAACTTTTAATAGTTCTAATACTATCTTTTTAACTGTCAGATATTATAAACAAAATAACATATTGTTACATATATAAAAAAGTAAATCTACAAATTTGAAATAATAGATATTGCTATTTATACCTTTTATTTTTGTTATTTATACTTTTTTCTATATAAAATAATTAATTATTATTGGTTAAATTTTTTTTTTGCATGGATAAGAGTATAAATAATAAAAATAGATGATATAAATAATAATTTCCTTAAAATATTATTATAAAATTTAATTTAAAAAAAATTAATATTAGCAAATTTGTTTGTATTACAATTTAAGAAATAAGATTTATCTAAATCTAAGTACTTATCTTTTTGATATCTTATTATTATCTTCTACTAATTTTTTTTTTTTTTTTTAAATATTAACAGTGAGGCCATGCCTTTAACTTTATTGAAATTCAATTGAAGTTTT